GGAATTGGTAAATGTGGAAATTGGGGAATGTGGGAATTGGTGAATGTGGAATTGGGAAATATGAGAATTTGGGGATGTGGGAACTGGGGAATGTGAGGAATGTGAGGAATGTGAGGAATGTGGGGAATGTGGAATGTGAGGAATATGGAACGTGAGGAATGTAAAATGTGGAGTTTGGAAATGTGCAATTTGGCAATATTAGAACGTAAGATTATAACCTTTGACAACACCGAATGTGGAACAAGACAGTACAGAAAAATGAGAAACAGACACGTGTATGCAGTAAAAACATTTTTTGCGAATGAAAATGTAGGGTCCACGTAATAGCAACCTTAAAGACACTATTAGCTTTTAGCAAGAGATGACCATAATTCCTTAATTACTTCATGAGTAAGTCGCTTAGCAAGGACTCGTACAGAGTTTGAATTTTGAAATAGAAAGTGACCATGATGACGAACAACACTCTTGGAAAGTAATCGCTGCAACAGAATTATCAACCGTACAAAGATAATGACACGCGACCAAAAAAACGACTAACATATTCAACAAATTGCTGTATCGTAAAAACTCGTTGAATAATTAAAGAACATCGTGAAGACGGCAAATTTTTGTCATTTTTTTCTGCTCGTCGCTGCTATTTATGAAATTAACCTTGTAATTCTGTCGGTGTCCACTTAATTGTTTCCGTGTCTATTCGGGGAATGAACTGTCTTCGGAGATTAGCATATGTCACACGTGTCACATCTGCATTCACCGAACTTGAAGAACCAGACGTACTTAAGACGAATGTGGAGCAAATGGGAAGCCAAATGAATCATGATGAACACGACAATTTACCTAACAGTACATTGATAATTTTTCTTCTATTTCGACTGTTGCGAAGAGGTTCTCTATTTTTTTTTAATTATGGAGCTGGATACTTTGCGAAACATGGATAATAAAATTATGTGGTAAACATATGTGGTAAAATTCGGTGTTCCACACTCTCCAATTCGCACATTCCCCAATTCCCACATTCCTCCAATTCCTACATTTCCCAATTCCTACATTCCTCCAATTTCTACATTTCCCAATTCCCATAATTCCCACATTCCCCAATTCCAACATTCTCCAATTCCCACATTCCCCAATTCCCACATGCCCCAATTCCTACGTCCCCAAATTCTCACATTCTCCAATTCCCATATTCCCCAAAAGCCACATTCCCCAATTCCAACATTCCCCAATTCCCACATTCCCCAATTCCACATTCCCCAATTCCATAATCCTCAATTCCCACATCCTCCAATTCCCACATTCCCCAATTCCAACATTCCCCAATTCCCACATTCCCCAATTCCCACATTCCCCAATTTCCACATTCCCACATTCCCCAATTCCCACATCCCCAAATTCTCACATTCTCCAACTCTCAAATCACCCAATTTCCAAGCTCTCAAATTTCTCACACACTAGATTCTCTAACCCCCAGATTCTCAAGCTCCCAAATCCTCAAACTCTCAATTCAGACAATACAGATACTACTGAAATTCGAATACATCAAACAGCAGAAGAACCCAGATTTAAGATATGAACTCAGAGTTGGGACTTCAACTCAACTTCAAATAAAATTCGAATAACTCAAACAGTAAAACCCATGTAAAACTCCGTTCCAAATAGCTCGGACACTCATAGCTGAATAAATAAAAGCATCGTTCGATTTTCAAGCAAATAACAATAAATCACGAACACGCGTCGCGATGTCTGTTCGTCGTTGATGTCTTTAGCAGGGTCGAACTTTCCCAGCTCGAGAAACCGATGCTCTCGCTGAGAATTAATAGTCCAACAGAACAGTCATAATTCAAGACACCTAAAGTGTCAACCTGAATTAATAGTCTCACGAGCGAGCCACGGAACCGAACGTGCCATAAACGTCTCTCCTCTCTGTCTACCTTGAACCTGGAGGATTAATCCGTTTGACAAAAGCAACGCGAGGAGGAGATGCAAGAAGTTGCAGGCAAGTTCTTGTTCGTCGAATTAGAAGCGTTGCCTGGGCGATAATTGCGCGCGTAGGAACTCGAAGGAACTCGACGTAGGAATCGTGCCTCTGCGTGACTGTAGATCGAGTTTTGATACGATACAGCGGTTGACCGTGACCCGCGTCACACTTTAAGTCCCTCCATTTTACTCTTTGCGAGTAGCACCTGGAACTCTACGATCTAACTATTCAAACTAGATCGACAAACATAACCTCTGATGATGTTCACAATGATTCCTCTTTCTGGAGGAACCTCAATTGAATTTGTTCTTTGAGACTGTTTAAACATTTTTGCTAACGTAACTGCATATGGATCTTCATTATGATTCTCTTTTTAGAGGAACTTACATTGATTTTGTGCTTTGAGACTGTTTGAACATATTTGCTAATGTGACTACATATGAATCTTTATTATGATTCTCTTTTTAGAGGAACTTCAATTGATTTTGCTCTTTGGGACTGTTTGAACATATTTGCTAATGTAACTACATATGAATCTTTCTTATGATTTTCTTTTTAGAGGAACTTACATTGATTTTGCTCTTTGAGACTGTTTACACATATTTGCTAATGTGACTACATATGAATCTTCATTATGATTTTCTTTTTAGAGGAACTTACATTGATTTAGTTCTTTGGGACTGTTTGAACATATTTGCTAATGTAACTACATATGAATCTTTATTATGATTTTCTTTTTAGAGGAACTTCAATTGAATTTGTTCTTTGAGACTGTTTTAACATTTTTGCTAACGTAACTGCATATGAATCTTTATTATGATTCTCTTTTTAGAGGAATTTTAATTGATTTTGCTCTTTGGGACTGTTTGAACATATTTGCTAATGTAACTACATATGAATCTTCATTATGACTCTCTTTTTAGAGGAACTTACATTGATTTTGCTCTTTGGGACTGTTTGAACATATTTATTAATATAACTACATATGAATCTTTCTTATGATTTTCTTTTTAGAGGAACTTAAATTGATTTTGCTCTTTGGGACTGTTTGAACATATTTGTTAATGTAACTACATATGAATCTTTATAATGATTTTCTTTTTAGAGGAACATAAATTGATTTTGCTCTTTGGGACTGTTTGAACATATTTGTTAATATAACTACATATGAATCTTTATTATGATTTTCTTTTTAGAGGAACTTACATTGATTTTGCTCTTTGGGACTGTTTGAACATATTTGCTAATGTGACTACATATGAATCTTTATTATGATTCTCTTTTTAGAGGAACTTACATTGATTTTGCTCTTTGGGACTGTTTGAACATATTTGTTAATATAACTACATATGAATCTTTCTTATGATTTTCTTTTTAGAGGAACTTAAATTGATTTTGCTCTTTGAGACAGTTTAAATATATCTGCTAACGTAACAGCATTGTGAGGTATAATATATGTGAATCTTATTATGTATCTGCATTTTGTACTTCTTCTTTGATGATGTTCACAATGATTCTCTTTTTGGAGAAACTTAAATTGATTTTATTCTTTAGGACAGTTTGAAACATATTTGCTAAGGCAACAGCATTGTGTACTACAATATACGTGACTCATATTATGAATCAGTGTTCTGTCTTTCACCTTCAGTGATGTTCACGATCATTCTCTTTCTGAAGAAATTTAAAATTGATTTTGTTCTTTTAGACAGTTTGAAACATATCTGCTAAGACAACAGCATTATGTACCATAATATACGTGAATCATATTATGAATCAGTATTTTGTCTTTCATCTTCGATGATGTTGACAAATATTCTCTTTCTGAAGTTTAGATTGATTTTGTTCTTTTGGGTAGTTTGAAACATATTCGCTAAAACAACATCGTTAACCTCCATGTTAACACTAGATTTGGACGGAACCCGTCAAAATGACGGATAATAGGTCTATTTTAGATGACAGAGCTTGTTAAAAAATTTTTGTAAAAATGTCAACTTTCAGCAAAAGAGTCAATGTTTTAGGCAGTTCACATATCATCTGCAATTTATTTATTTTTCTACTTTAGGTAAATTTAAATAAAAGTGATCGAACGTCCGTAAATCTAGTGTTAATTAATTTGAATAACTCTGAAGTACCTCTACAGTACAAAGAATAAATTAATATGAAATTGTGTAACAATGAATATGATTTTATCAAGCGGTCGTCGAATAGATTGTTTTCTTGATATCGATCGCAAGAGCTAAAAGCAACTTCTTGCTATGAATAATTTGTGGCCGTGGCGTAATCTGCTGGCGAGAGTATGCATCGCGTTTAGTTACCGACTGGACCGAGGATCCAGGATTCAGACCGCAAACCACAAACCGCAGGATCAGGGAGTTTGAGATATCGCACATTCTTTGCGCCCGTAGGAAACTCCTGATCCTAATATACACGACCGCGCGGCAGAAAATTTATTTCTCTTAGCGACGTTTAGCGGTTTCTAGCTGCTGTATTTACTGGGAAGTTTTTAATTAGCCGCAATCGATACGCGAATGTTCAACCTACTTTAAAGGAATTTTAGAACAAACTGAATCTTCAGGCTCTGGAAATATTTCAGTGAAACAATTTTAGTTAAACCCCATTTAATATGCAAATTCTTAAAATAATTTGTACAAATAATGTAGTCAAATTGTAATTTGACTGCGTTTATTATTATAGAAGACTATAATATAGAATTACATTAAAAATACTACAAAGTATTATAAGCTATTAAAACTTGCATAAAAATAAAGACCCGGAACTTGAGAAACCACTCACAGAAATAATTTATCGATTTTCCGTATAAACTTAAAAAATAAAAATATCTTTCTATCTCAGAAAGACAAAATATTTCCCAAAATTTATATTTCACCCGAAATATTTATATTTTATTCTAACGAAGTAAAAAAGACTGTGTCGCAGTTGGATCCTCATCCAGTAAATTACAAATTACAATTTATTTATAACTTGTATTACGAAAATCAATATCAAAGAGTAAAAGACTTACCCAACTCTGTAGTCCGTGCAAGATGGCGGCGGATTCCAAACGGTGCTATGACACAGCATCCAATCGCACCAAATCTAGAAAAACACAAGGTAAAAATTGTGAATAATGAAAGATGACTATAGAAGATAATTTATTTATATCGTTTCTATTTATAGAATATCCAGAAGACGTTTCATTTTGTCTACCACGTTCATCCATCCTGAGAAAGTGAATCGTGTGCCAACAGTGTTGTGTCGCGTCCGCTTTATCGGTAATATTAATGGTCTCCCATGAGACAAGAGAGAAACTCTCGCCATTATTCCTGCGTTTCGATAGCGATCGATCTTGTTTCCTCCGCCATTCGTTCTCAATTATGCGAGAGTGTTTTTATACATTGGTGGAAGGTACGTCGCAGGTGTTGGCCTTTTTTGGCCAGATTTTTAAGAGCGCTCAGGGACAGTGATTGAGGACACTGTGAGATGGACAAATTTTTGGGAGTTTTGGAGATTTGGAACTTTTGGGGTTTCGGAATTTTGGAATTTTAAGGGTTTTGCAATTTTGGAGTATTGGGATTTGGGAGTGTTGGACCTTGGGAGTGTTGGAATTTGGGAGGGTTGGACCTTGGGAGTATTGGAATTTGGGAGTGTTGGAATTTGGGAGT